TGAGCATGACTTCAATTTGTGTATGCTGTCAGAAAATGTTGAGTCCATCATGTTTTGAAGCGTTTGAACCGGTACCTGCGAGTACACTTGCTCGATGATTTCCCGACAAGGATCATAACACTACGCAAATGTTACGTGTCGAACACAAACATAGGGACGAGAGCTTACTGGCGATAGCACTTTTCCGGCAAGGAGCCACGATTCCATGTGAGGACGCATCCAAGTCGGAAGCATCTTCCATATATTCTGTAGCGTATTATTTGGAGAAACGTGATCGTTGTATATGGATGGAGACACTGAAATGCGAAAGCCGCGCCAAGTCGCGGTGCAGTTGCGCGGGTGAGAAGCAATAGGGCCGGCGAGGTCAGACCAAGTCGTGTAATCGAATACCTCCGTGCCATCGCGGGCGTCGTCTGCCCTCTTAAGCTCCTGCGCTGGAGAGAAATCGGTAATACCAGGAGCGGGATAGAAGAGGCGTCTACCCGTGTAATGGTAATTAGGGTTGCGAGAATGGTAGACCCCAAGGCCATAGTGCGACATTTTCAGGCATCCGGTAGTGACGAACATATCACCATTCTCCAGGTCAATGTTCCCGGCGAAGTGGTCGTACAGAGCGACCGCATTGTCCAGAGCCCACTTTTGAAGTCTCCGCGCTCCTACCTCTGTGCATTCGTATATCGTCGCCCCGCAAGGGAGTGTTAAGTAGCCACCCTCATTTGCATGAGCTGAAATCGAGAGCGACCTACAAAGACCTGAGAATTGCAGCAATTGAAAGCGCGGGATAAGGAACCGCCTACCGTATTGGACCGTCTTCATTGTTATCAGTAGTTTCGAAAGGGTGCTGGAGGTCGTTGGTCCCGCCAATCACGCATGGTGTGGGAAAGTGAGCGTCGTCACGCAGGTAGTCAACGCCTTCCTCGAGAGTGACTGGAGAGTAGTCATTGAGTCGGACTCTGACATTGCCTTGGTCAAAATTCCTCGGTGCTTCGACCGGAAGCGTCACGTTCATGCCGATATAGCTGACCGTGCCGTCGAATCTGCGTATGGCAAGATCTCCCACTTGGGCGCCAGTGGGCATATACACGTCTGCGTAATGCGAGCCGGTACGTGGGACAGGATCGCAAGATGAGAAACCACGGTTCTTCGCGTATAGAAAACGGTTGTAGGTGTCCTGCCGGACCCGCTTTACGTCCGGACTTTCCATGATGGTAGGAGAGAAGGCGTTCGCCAGTGATCGAACACATGGCCGATCGAACGAACCGGCACGGAGTAGTCGGGCCTTTTGGTGACAATGGTTTGCTTCTATCCTCGAGGGCGCAACGAGGACGGAGACACGTCTTTGACGCCGTTGACTAGGCTCAGCTGTGTGTGCATCGATTCTCAGGTTAGTGTGTAGTGCCAAAAATGCCCGCGCTTCGAGCCGTGCCTTGCGAAAGTTTCTTCGACCATGGTATAAAATGCAACACATCTGACTGCATCGACGTATCACTCTTCACTCTATCCCATGATCCCACTCGACGAAGAAAACAGCGCTCCAGTTGCGTATGCTCGCTGTCTGGCAACGCTGCTCTCAGGTTTCCCGTTTTTTGAGCCTCGACCTCGCCAGTTGAACCTGCTGAAGAATTTCACGCTGACCGGCGGATCGTATCCTTTTGATCTCTGCTTCATTGGACGAAGGTCCCGTCTCAGCTACATCTACTCTGCCGGATCGCACGAGGCACACCCGAGGAACCTAGACGACAATGGCAACAGTCTTGCGCCTGCTTGGGTCGAGCCATATCTGAAAGGAGTTGGCGTTTACTCAGGATTGAGGAAGCCCAAAGACGACGTCGTCCTCACTTCTAGCTGGACCTTGACCAAAGCTCATGCCGGTGGAAGCACCTCTGTCCCGTGAGTCTTTAACATTTTGTTAGTCCTTTGGGAATTGCTCATATTGAGAAGCCTCGGCGCAACCCAATTCGCAGTTGATGCTAGCTTCATTTGTGAGACACACGGCGCTACAGGCGCGCTTCTCTCCACTCCCGGAAAGGACAACCTCGAATATGACATTGAAGACCTGACGATAACCTCTAACTACGTGAAGGCAAACAGCGTTGCTTGGTTCAGGTACTCCAACACTCTCCGGATGCTGGACGTCGCCCACGGGAATCTTTACATGCTCACATGGGTCGCAAAGGCTCAGGCGTTTACGAGTGCTGTGAATGTAGCGAGCGAGAAGAGCAAGGGCGTGGACGTTTCCGCAGGATTTTCTGTGTTTGGTCTGGGGGCGATGTTGAGCGGCGGAAAGGCCAAGGTCGAGGGACAGGAAGGGCGCAAAGTCAACTCCGCCCAAATGTCGAAGCCGCGGATGGGCACAGCTGCTCAGGGATGGATGGTGCGGCTTGTCCACTGGAGACTTATTCTCCTTGAGAAGGGACTCTCTGTCGAGGTAGAAGCCGACGCCCCAGAGTATTCGATGGCACCCAGCCGACACGCAGAGACTGTTCGTGTTCCTTTGAAGGACCTCGAGACTTTGGCTCCTAAAGGTCTCGCGCCCCCTTCCACGCCTTTCCCAGGCTTCGTGTCTAGAAACGATGGAGACCGCCTTTGTGACGGTTTGGATGACGAGGACGGGGATGAGGACGAGGACGACAACGGTGGTGGCGGTCATAGTGGGAGTCCTCCGCCGGACGGCAAGCAGTCACATGCATCATCGGGCGGTGGCGGTGGCATGTCAGTTTTCTCTCTGAACGCCCAAGGCTCCAACACTCCTACGATTAGTGCACCTACAGGGGGCGGGTCTGGCGACGAGGGTGGCTCAGGATCCGCAGCAGAGGTCAGAATATCCCATACTTCGCCTCACACGCTAACTGGATGCGATTGTAGGCTATTCCGGCCCGTGACCAGCTGAACGCGTACAGATCTTTCCACGCGTCGCGTAGTGCTGCTGATGCAGGAGCGTCGACTGTTCAGCAGGTACGTACCCATCCTGGGATATGTATCCGCAACTCTCAGACCTTTTCCAGGAGGTTGAGAATATACTGGCTACAATTGAGTCTAATTTACCAGCGGTGGTTGACCCATGCGCTTTGTTAGAATATACACCACCTCGAAGCGTGCATATTGTTCAGGACGTTAGAGTGGGTACTCTCCACAACTGAACTTCCGATATACTGATTTCACCCCAGCCTTACCATCCCCTCTACGAGATCATGGACTCGATGGCTGAATCTGCATGTCGACTGTTCATTTATCATCCTCGCGCGCTAATTTATACCATACTAGGCGCCTTGGGCCAGCTTCACTATGGCGCACGACAAGGATTACCTTTCCGTTCTAACGAAGGTGATTACCGCCGTCTGTTAAGGATGGATCCTATTTCTCACTGTGTTTAGGGCGAAATGGTACCGCTTGGGAAGGAGCTTGTCTCGCGTGTGGCAAAGAAATATGTCGTCGAGGTTGATGAAAGTACGCCATCTTCAGCCTACAGTTTTATTTCGCTCATCCGCTGGGCAGATGGCTTTGCCTGTTTGGTTGACCGTGAAGAGCGCCAGCTAGCGGATGACCAGTTGGGGTTTGTTATGAACCTGTATCGCAGTGCAACAAACGTAGACACCGGCTTCGATGTCGTGCGCACACGCAAAATTCCATCCGTACATCCTATGATTCCCTTCTATTGATTGAGTACTCACATATCCCGCAGGAATATGTGCTGTTCCCGCCTGTTCACGGCGGTCAGCTTAACCTTCGCTGGATCCAGGAGACACCAAGGATGGTCGACCTACATGCCGCGCAGCAGCATAACCGAACCCAATTCTACGAGCTTCTACACGCGTTCTGCCTCGAGTACCACTACGTTGACCCATCCTACGGCTACTGCTTCGTCAGGCCTGACCCCGAGGACACGAACTGGGATTACATCAGTGGCACTTTGCAGGCGGCCATCTGGGATTCGTTGGGGCAGCCACCGCAGGATGAGACAGCTGAGATCAACCTAGCCGCTGAAATGAGCGGGTTAACGATGAGTTCCGCCGCTCAAGGTGAGTATCTAATTGGACTTTAGTTTCAGTCTCGACATTGACCTCATGCGTAGCGCGTGCCGACGAGGAGGAGGAGAGAAAGAAGAGAAAGAAGGCCAAGAAAACGAAGGTGGTTGCTCTCCGCGAGTAAGCACGTTTGAAGGGGCAGCAGTGGCAGTATAAGCAGTAATACCGTTGTTCTCGTGGCATGTAAATTTACATTCAAATTGGTATGGAACCGCTTTGAGAAGTGGTCCTGTTTTACAGTGTATGCATTGTGCAGTAGGTTGCCACTCGGAGGCGCTGTCGAGCGTCAAGACTCGGCCTGCTAAGTGCTCCCTCATGCTCACCGCGGACTGTTCGTCGGTTTTTGACAGAAACTGATGGTGAGCGCCAGGCGCCCCAGCGCTCGTAACTCGCAGTTGTGTGCCCAACCTACCAGTTCGACCGAATGGTGATGTTTGCGAGCATGCGGTTTTTGAAGATGGATCCCACGATGAAGAACTTGTTGAATGGCACGGAGAAGGGGGCGAGAGAGTTGCTCAGATACGTGTATGGAACGGAGAGGTTCAAGCAGGGGATGTTTGGCAATGGCCTGAAGCGGATGGACGCGAATAACTGGAGATGACAAAGAGAGAAAATACCGAGACGAAGAAAAACAAGCAGCAGACGTGCAGAGGAAACAGATGTATAGGGGGAGTTCCATTGGGACGCCCAGCGGGCTCGAAAAGGGCTCACAAGCGACGGCTCGAGTAGATCAAGTACAGGAGTAGAGTCTAGTAGAGTAAGATAGCGGAAACGAACAGAGTACATAGATAGCGCGTAGCTAGATAGGTACTTCGCAGATCACCCTTACATACGTTACAGCGTAATAGGTAGGATCTTTGAAAGAGAAAAGAACTCGCAGTTGAAAATTTGACTGTTCACACTGCACAGTGACAGGGGCCAGGGGCCAGGGCTGAGGGTACACTGCAGCCGTCGGCGTTGCGTGCGGCAACAAAAGGGCTTGACCGGGAATTGAACCCGGGACCTCCTGCAAGATGCAACGCAGCTGGTAAACCCGAAGCAGGAATCATACTACTAGACCATCAAGCCGATGATCGAATAGCCTCTTCATGGGATCATATCTCTTCTCCAATTGACCTATATAATCAAAGAGTCTTGAACGGCGATGCACTCACGCACAATTAGAAGAAATCCACCTTCGCTCCCAAGATATATAGAAGCATCACTTTCAACTTCACCTTTGTTTGCGCAATGAACGGCGATCGATTCTTGAGCCCGGACATCCGGGCCACCGCTTCCTTATGAACCACGACCACCGTTTCCATATTATCCGCCGTATTCACTGATGCCTGCAGAGCCTCGTAGACGCCAGAAAGTATTCTCTGAAGAAGAGTTGAAGGACCTCGAGGAAAAGCGCTCTCGAGGTGCATTCGACCGTCGCTATTTGATGCTAGGTTATTCATGTATTCTGCAGGCGAAGCGTCTTGTGCTGAATGTCGCAGGCTTAAACTGCGATGTGACAAGAGCCTCCCTTGTTCTTCCTGTGTGAGACGAGGATGCGAAAGTATATGTCCACTAGGTGTGATTAATGTGTTCGACAACGTTTGCGGTGCTTAAGGATGCGGTAGGTGTTCTCTCTGCAGGACAAGGTACTCGGTAAGTTGCATTGAAACGCACCGCCTATAACATACCCAATTTGTCAGGTTCATTCTAGCTGATACAGACAAACTACATCGCAAGATTGCCGACATGAGTACGCGGATTCGACAGCTGGAGGATGCCTTGGCTATCATGCACGCAACACAACATAGCACCAGGCATCCGCTGTTACACGATGACTTACTGAAGATCAAGTTCGGCGCTGAGGCTCCTCTTGAGCACCGCGAAAGCTCCGCGCCCAAGCCGGTTGAGGGTCGGCAAGAATCACTGGACGCCCTTGGGACACTGACCTTAAGCGACTCGGGTAGCACGCGTTACTTTGGCCGGTCAGCTGGTTCAGAGGTAAGTCTTATGTTTACCCGCTTGTATGTCGAACTGGAGCTGTCTTGTAGACCCTTATGGCAGCTGACGACGGGCCTCACGTCGAGGACGGCTCAGACGCGGTGGATGCGCCCCCCGACAACGTTGCATTTCCTTTCGCCGCGCCTGCTGCACCTACCAATGTACTATCAGAGCGGCTTCCGCCATCCGACAGAGTATCATACCTGGCTCAGTCATATGTTGACCACGCATCTCTTTTCTTCCGCCCTATCAAGCATACAGAGCTATTCCAGGATCTTCTCACCGCTGACCCACAGAGTCTGTCGGGAGAAACTTTATCCATGCTCTTCTTTGTTCTCGCTCTGGGTGCGTTGTTCGACCTCAAGCTTCCCGCGTACAACGATGAAGCAGAAGTGTACTACGCGCTCGGCGTCAGCGCGCTTGGGTCAAGACTAGTCACAGAGACTCCCAAAGTTGATACGATACGAGCGGTCGGTCTAATGGCCACATACCAGACGTTAGCGAGCAAGAAGCACTCGCGGGACAGTGCTGTACGATGCATGTATCTTATCAAAGAGTCTGTACTGATGATATCCTCCAGTGGACCTGCATGTCTCTTGCCGCAAAACTTGCACAAAGTGTACGCTCCATCCTTCCGTGCGATTACAGCTCTTACGATCAACTTTCCAGATTGGACTGCGTGTGTTGAACTGTGTTCAGGCAGCTAAATTGACCACACTGAAGTCCTATAGACCGCGATAGCGCTCGGTGGAAAATGGACGCCAAAGTGGTTGAATTGCGGCGTATGTTGTGGTGGGAAGTTTACTCGGCAGATATCTCCCACGTAAGTCTATGCAAACTCCTCATCAAGAATGCCTATGCTAACGTTCGAAAGAGTCTCGCCATCGGCCGCCCACCAGCCATCCACCCTTCTTTCGCTGACTGTGAGTTCCCCATTGACGAGGAAGCCACTCTCAGTCACGACGGAGTTATTGAATATGGTTGTATGTATCATGCCATGTCGACTTCCGTGCTCCATCTCACATACACGCCAGTTTGGAGGATGAAGTACACGTTCGCACGAGAAATATTCATGCCTATCATTGACGCGACTCTGACGGCTTCACCACCCAAATACGCGACAGTGCTTGAGCTGGACAAGAAGGCCCGTTTGATGCACTTCCCATCGAGTATCAAGCCATACGCCAGAATCGAAGACGGTGAAGCTGAGTATTACTCCAGTGCGAGAAGCCTCAAGGATTTCTATGCTAGTTCGCATCGAGTCGTCAGTGAGTTCCCATAGCTCGACCAGTGTAAGCATTGCCTCATCACCCTTTTGTTTGTAGCCATGCTGTATCTGCATCGAAGTTTCTTTGCGCAAGCCACGCTAGACAATCCAGAAAACCCTCTCCTGAGCACATACGGACCTAGCTTCCTGATATCTGTCCGATGCGCCAGTATCATCATCAAGGCGGCGGTACATCAGTTCGAGCGATGCGCAGACATTGGGAAGCGGACGTGGATCTTGCTATACCATGTCTTTTCGGCGGCGGTGGGTCTTTTCCATCGTGGGCGTGATGCACTTCTAATGGATAGAGCAGGTTGTTGTAGGAAGTGTGGTAACCCACTGTCCAAGCGCGACAATTGCGCCAGACGCTATGAATGACCTAGAGCTGGCGGTTAAATTGTTCGAGCTTTCGGCCGAGCAATCTAGCAAGGCGCGCACGGCGTTTGCAGTACTGGTCAAACTGAAAGAGAAAGCGACGAAAGCGGTGTTGTTCAAGGACTACACTTCCTCAATCCCAAGAGACACCTCCACCTCAATGCCAATACTCAAGCCACTCGAATCAGAGGACTCGGACGATGAGATTGCGATCTTCGGAGGACAGAAGAAGCTACTAGTGAAGGGAAAGGGCAAGCGGACGGCCAACGGAATGGTGGACTCGCCCATGTCTTCCAATGCCCCAGATTCCCCGTCCGCCTCTTCCCCGACGCACGGCTACCAGACGAAAGAGGCCCCGTCACCCCTTGCGGGACCGTCAACTGGCTCAAGATCACACAACTCGGCAGACTCTTCACTATACGACTATACGAGCATATTCGCGGAAAGTAGCGCCTCGAACGCGGGGATGCTCTCGCAACCGTACGGCGGGATGGGAATGCCTGAGGATGCGCTACTTTGGCCGTCGCACACGCACCAGCAGCTGCAAGACCCATCATCATTCACTACGGACTCAACGATGTACATTCCACCGGTTTCACTGCCGGGGTTGATGCCTGCCCAGGGAGACCATCTGATTCAACCGCACACTGCTGGACCACGAATACCAATGCGATATACTGCGCCAGTTGAGCTAGGACTGATGACCGAGTCCAACATGGATGCCGGGTGGGACTCTTTCTTGCGCGAGTGCGGAATCGTGGGCGACGTTGGGAATGGAATGGAGGGCTTGTTCGAGTAGGCTACCATGGGCGACGGAGTCGGCCACATCTCAGATGAAGTACAATGGCAGCCTGTTTTATGGCGACCTGGCGGGAATGACAGGAATTTTGCCGTTTGGAGCGTTGAATGAAGTAGTCCATGGTTGATTCAGTGTTCTCGAACGTGATGTCACGATGCATGAATTATTTATTGGTGGTGTATGTCGTGGTACGGTGCTATAACAGGTATCGACATGGGGTCAAAGTATCGCATGAAATTTGTTGCGGACCTTTGCTATGATGCTGGTGTGGGCGGTGCGGTCCCGTTCGCCTTCTACACCGTCAGATGTCTTGTACTATCCGGAATGCGAAGCGTACCTCCTCGCGTGCTAGGCGCTCCTGGTTTGCCACGTACTAAAATGAAGAGCTTCAGAATTTTAACCATAACAAGGGGGGAAAGACAGTACATCTGCGAGTAGGCCCATTAGTATGTTTCTCCGAGTCTAGATGGGAACGCACCTCTTCCAGCTTGTAACGTCTCCCTATGCACCTGCCAGCCCACAAATAGCGTCCATCCAGTCATTCCTATCAGCGAGTAGGTCACAGTGCGCTGAATGTAGTCGAATATTGAGAGCTTGATGCGCGGCGGCATGGTGGGACGGAAGAGAGCCTAGATCGGCGGTTCCGGTCCGAAAATGATAATTGTGATGGCGGATCACTCCTGCGGAATTCCGAATTCCTGCCTGGCACCTGCACCCGCTCACCCACGGAAGTCGACCTAGCTCCTGTGCTACGCGGAATAATTGTCTTCACAAATGCAGTGGTCTCATTTGCGCACAACCGTACTTCCTAGGTTAGTCGTTTGTAAAGTTCCGCACTTCCGAGAGCCTAGCAAGATTGTTGTGCAGGGCAACTCGACGATGTCCGACGCCTAAGCGCCGTTCTAGTGACTAACAGGATGAACCCCTTCCGACTAACTGACGCTTCTTTTGCCAGCTTTCAATTAAACAGGATGTTTGCACATGGCTGGTATAGCCCCTCGAAGCCTGTTTTTCTGCGCAGCTAGCCTTTGACTGGCCTGTTTTATCGCCAACATCGTGTCCAAAGCGCAGTGCTCGAAGCCTGAGGGTACACTTCGATCAGCGCTGAGTGGCACCTTCATAGCACTGCCAAATGTTTCGCTCGCTCGCTGAGTCGGTTTCGGATCGAGTGGCCACAGGTATATATTATGAGTCTGATCGCGTTTGGGGCGTGAACTTTCTTTCCCTCTACCACCACTATCATCATGATTCTCGTCGACCCCAAGACTCCATATTCGGAGGAAACACCAATCCTGTCGGCGGAGCAACAACGACCAAGAGCTACAGGTAAACAACGAAGTGGTTGGTCTAACCCCCTGGAGTGTATCTTCCGCTTTGCTGATAATTTGACTAGACCTGAGCGCGCCGCGTCAGACATCCGCAACGTCTAGCTCGCACGATGGAACGATATCCGAGCTCTCGTACCTAGCAAACTCTTTACCTAGTACGCATACCCACGAACACGAGCGCCCCCATACCCATGGAAGAAGAGACGACTCCGCCGCTAGTAGCCCAACAGATCCATCGTTCCCGCTATCTCGGCAGAGTAGTCATGATGACTTTGTAGGCGGTAAGCTCTCATTGAGCGCACCAGGCAGCACATCCTCT